CCCCATTCCACCCCACGATCTCTGGTATCTGCTTCAATCGTCAGGGGTTCATCTTACCCCACCCCACCACTCCCTACTCACCCGCTGAAGACCTATGGACAGCAGCAGCAGTACTGCCAGCACGCGGCCATGGGACAGCGCTGCAGCTGGAGCCCCGCTAAGAAGCTCCAGAACCAGCCCGGCCAGGCTCAGTTGGACAACCAAAGGCTGTAACCAAGGAGGGGGAAGTCCGGGGGCGAGATCGCGGGTCGACTTTGTTTCTCGACCACCCGGCTTCCGGTCTGACCTTAAGTACTGATGATGGTGATGATGATGATGATGATGATGATGATGAGGCTTCAGTGGCGTACTGCTGGTCGCGGGCGCAAACTCGCAAGCCAGCCAGGCGACGGAGGCGATGTGCGAGCCCAGGCCAAGTAATAAGCCCAGGATCAGCACCGCCAGGCCCGGGCCGGAGAGGCATTGCAATTCTGCGGGACGAATGCCCAATGCGTTACGTTGCTGTATACCCGCCGTAGATGCACCTGCAAAGCCCAGGATGATTCCTGTCACAGCGAACCTACCCACGTATGAGACAATAGCTTCAAGGCGGAGGACCTGCACTCCCAGGTACAGCAACCTGCGCCATAATCCGCGGGTTAAGTTAAAGAATCTTTCGCTATAGTTTAAAGCTTTGCATAAGGTTCCACCTGGCAAGGAGCAGGCCTGAAAATAGCGCTGACATTAGCAGCCATTCACTGTCAGGTAGACACAGGGTTAAATAGCTCCAGGATTCCAGAAAGAAACATGCGTTGTGTTAAGGAATGCCGGCGTGCCAAGAAACTACATCCTGCGTTAGGCATATTAATCGGCTGTACCAACACTTGCCCTGTGAGCATGAAGTTGTCATTAGCTGCTTTAACTGTTCATAATTAGATCCACAACAGAATTGTTAGGGTACTATTGAGATGAAGTCGAAAAGGTAATGATGCAAAACATAATAGGACAGTCTGCTTATATTGGCTTTACCACACGAAAACAAGTGTTCCTTGCTCGGTCCAAGGGACCGATTGTTAGGAGAATCTGTCCAAGAATCCCGGGACACCCAGCCACCCAGCTGGGACGAGAAGCCTCCCTAGAGCGGTCTAACCGACTTTCTATCAGCTCATTAATTCCAAATCCAATACCTCAGTCGATATCTGCTTTACACCAGGTAGCAACTCCGACTCACAGACGAGGAGAAACTGCGCCCGGGCAAACCGGCCTTGTAAGTTAAGGCAAATTAACCAAAAGCAAAAATTTAATGTTACATTTGAAATGCTCTCAACGAGCGATAAACTATCGAGCGACAGACTATCGGCACTAGACACCCTGTGCTCCCATTTTGCACTAAACAAGACCGCAAGGCCTCCGAACTACATTATCTGGCCAATGAATAGAAGGCAAACAAACCGAATATGGCAATACAGTCCATTGTCGTTCCTTATGACAAGCCTGCCATGCCTCGCGATGCACAATCTTTGCACTCTTAGGGTGCGGGCTATACCGTTTGTGTATAGAAATGGCAGGGAACTTGGGATCCCCTTTGGAAGGTGAGCCTTGGGAGCCTTTGGTGAGCCTGGGAGCCTCTGGACGGGATATTTGCGGAATTTGCGGATATTTTGTTATTAGATAAAGTCTATCTACTCCTCCTTGCTGGACCCCGCACCCCGTAGTTCAGGTTACCACACGCCGGGCGCGGAAGGAGAAGTGACACATGCAGGCTGCTTTCAATTTTTTTTGGATAAATGAGGAAATGTTAAAAATGCTTATGCAACAAACCGTCATTCAAAAAGCAATCTTACGGAAGGGCCAGAACGGCTACTAGTGCTTTCGGCACGCGCTGGGGCCTTACCCTTAACGGATTTGGCATGGCATGCCAGCGTCACTGGCCCAGGGTTTCAGCAGGCATGTGAATCTAAGAAACATACCAAGCACGACAACAGCCCTTGTCACTCATAGAACGACATGGATAGTGTCGTACTTCGATCGCTTTTCCGGAACACCTCCCAGTCCCTTGCCACCGCGACCGCGGATGTGTGTCAAACACAGTAACGCGCCGGACCCCTCCCGGGTCCTATTACTGCTGTCACCATTCACTGGTATATGAGTGTCGGTCACTTCCCAACAATGTGGCCAGTAGAACACAATTGCACGACACATTGTGATGCGAGACGACACGGTACGGAAGTGTGTGGCACAGTACAATGCTCAACGCCAGGACTCTCAAGACGCGTGTGGTATATTGCGGCGCATTCCACAACATTGCTTGCTTGCTGCATTATTGCCAACCAGGCCGAACCACCTGCCGATCATGGTCATTAAAAACAATGCTTTATGCCATTCTGGCATCTTACATTTCCTGCGGAAGCTCGCCGTGCGTGTGCAGTCCCAGCTGAGCTCGGCATCGCAGTCATGTAGCGAGTAATCACACAGCCCGTGTATCAACGCATCAGCGCAAAATGACCCTCGGGACGGTTCGCCAACGAGACCACCTCGTTACGAGATCCTCTCTATAATTGGTTTCAACACAGCTTAGCTTGCAGCTTCAACAAACAACCCTAGTTCTATTTGAGATGTCGACAGAGGGTGTGATTATGGAAGACCTGGGAATCTAAAAGGCTCGAACTATAGCATGCGGGGTGTACACTATAGGATACGCGCACATCTATGTAAGCACAGCAGTAACCCTAAGAGCCGTGGACACAACATTAACGGCTGTTATACTAGTAGATCAGAACGTTTACTAATCGTTTGCCTGCACGTGTCCAGAATGAAGAGATCTACATGTTGATAGAAAATATATTTCGGGCTTCTGGGTTCTGACCTGGTTCCCCCTTTTGGGTTTTACGTGCATGGCTCCCATGCATCAGGCTTACAGCAAGCCTGACATGATGCACATACCCTCATCTACTTTAGCTGACGCACTGGACCTTTACATAGCTGGCGGCCATTGCAGCCACCATCACCCGCAGCCCCCTTCCAAACATCAAGTGCACCCAGCCACGCCTGACCCAACCTCGGGCTGCTGGTTGCTGCATGACAAAATTTACTCAACGTAGCCCTCCAGGACACCCAAGGCTCATTTATGCCACCAGTACCACAGCAGTACCGATCATTTTGTACGAACCTGCGCGGTTCTTAGCCGTACGGGGAAGACATAGACAACGCTGGACGAGCGTTGCGTTAAGGAAGCGCCCATGCATGCCGTACGAGTACACGGTATGCAACGGCAGTGCATGCCGTACGAGTACACAGTCTGGTCTGGAGACACTACTTCAATTTGCCGTTTAAGGTCCTGAGTACGATTTTGGGTAGTCCTCCGTCATTGCAGGGAGCGTGTGATTATGGCTAGGTGCTGAGATGTGGAGTTGGGGTCACAGTCGATGGACCGAGATTCGCACGCTGGAATGGTGGCGATTGCTGAACCCTCTGTCTCTGCGGATGTTCGGGTGAATGGATGAGGAGTGATCCTAGTAGGCAGGATCAACCACCTTGGACTTGCAGTTCGTATTGTGTAGTACAGTGTGGTAATGGTGGATGGTGCTGTATGGCATGTTCATTCCTAGATGTGACAGTCCTAATGTGTGCATATAGCCCAGAAGCCTCCCACTCTGTAACAACAACAACACGGCATGCACCACTCAACATGAGATCAACGGATGTTCACACACACACACAAAAGTGGCCCGGTGAACTGAAATGAGCAAGCAAAGCACGACGCCATCGGGACGTGATAAACAACTGTACGACAACCGTACGGATTCAACAGAAAGACAGCTGTTCCGCATGCCGGCACGAACTCCCTGCCGTCGCTGCCGTGCACGAGCAGTCCTCTCGCGGCGGCGAGAACAACGATGAATGAATGAGATTTCGTCGTGAAGCTAATGATTGTAATAAAGATCATGATGAAGGTAGCGGTCATGTGGTGAGCGGTGCTGGTAGTGATGACGGATCCATGCAGGCTTCCCTACATTCATCGCGCACACACACGCGCTGTGTCGTTGGCGGCAAGCAGCCATCATGCTGCCAAATTAGCATGACCGCCTGCGCCGCTGCAACTCTCCCCATCGGGGCCCTGTCCTTACCTCACAAGCCCTTACCGCCTCACAGGATGCCGCCTGCCTCGAGGCCGACCAAACGGCCGAATGACTCCAAATGACTCCTCAGGATGCGGACGGGTCCGGGGCCCCATCGATGGTTACGGATGGTTCAACACGGAATGGAAAACATGGTCCCTCCCGGAAAGGGACATCGTGGGCTTCACCTCACCTCGCCCCACCTCACCGCCGTCGACATCCCGCCGACACAAACCACCACCACCACCACCACCAACTACAACAACAACAAGTTCTTAATATCTCCAAGCAACCGCCGTCGCGAAGACCTGCGTCTGGTTTTCAGTTCATTACACAACACCATGACACCTTGCCTCCTTCACCAACGTTGCCAGCCGGATTCATGCCCAGAACAGTCCATCCTCAACTTAAAAGTTACCCCAACCCATGGGTCAAGTACGGCAATCTGTACGGATTCAAGGTAATAACAACTTTGATTTTGTTCCTGCCTTTGCTTTTTTGCCCGGCGGCTTGTGCTTGCTCGACCAAACGCCCACACCAACAAACGCGGATGAACCCGCACCCACCCAACCCCTCACATCCCGAGGCATATCACAACCCGCTGGTCGCCTTCATTTTCCGCTTCCCTATCGAGTACCATCATGAATCCCGTAAAACATCATACAGGATGCAGGTTCCGCCTGGTGGCGTCGGGTTGTAGCCGCTCACTTCCCTCCTTCTAGCCTGCCCTGTTAAGTGCGTGTTAAAAATGCCGCCCAGATGGGTGCTTGCTGGCTCCAAGTGGCCTCACTCCCGCCGACGAGAGGACCAGCACCAGCACCAGCACCACACCCGGTGACAAGGTAAACGAGGTAAACAGCGCTGCCAGCCCCTCCGCCGTGTTAGGGTCCTGGCCATAACTCTCTCGTAACGTCGTTGTCGTTCAAGCTTGTCGTAGCCGCGCCGCACTTCCGGCGGCTCACCCGTGCAACCACTCAATCCACACACTGCCGTAGCGCCTCAGTGTCTCGTTGAGGCGCTCCGGTGAAACTCGGTTTTCCAGGGTCCCTCCAGTTTGTCCGCCGCCGCCTCCAGGGTGGCAGATAGTCCGGCTGGGGTGGGTCATGCCAGGCGAGGGCAGGGGGAGGGGCAGCAGAGGGCGGAGAGCGGCCATGGAGGGTCTAGGAACAGATTGGCACCCCCCACACACGTACATATCAGAGGGAAAGCCCTTCCACCTCTTAACGTGCCCTCCCAACCCCAACCTCTCGGCCCCCCTCGCTCACCCACTGCCCCCGCCGCCGGCTGCTTGGCCAGGTGCCGCAGAGCGGTTCGCACGACGAGCTTGTGATCAAAGGCCAGCAGCGGCAACATGGTCACGTCGAACCAGCGGGCGTCCTTGGCGTCGTCCTGAACGATGAGCGGTGAAGGGCCCCGCGGGGGTCAGTGGTGCTCAGGCGGCGGCGGTCTTCCAGGACATAGTGCCACGTCCCTCCTCCCCTTCCCAGCATCCACCCTCGATCATCAAACCCCGTCGTCCCTTACGTTCCTTCTTCCCGGCTACCTAACCCCCCTGCCATTCACCTTTCTTTTAACATTCCCTCCCCTCCCCTCCCTTCTCTCCCCTCCCTCCTCCCTCCTTCCCTCCCTCCTTCCCTCCCCCCCCTCCCCTCCCTCCCTCACCGCCGCCTTGACCCCCAGGTTGGTGGTGGGCACCAGTGCCGCGTACGCCACCGTGACGGTCCAACCCCGCGGGTCGCGACCGGGGTCACCGAAGGCGCCAACCTGGAGGAATGGAATTGAGGAAGCAGCGGAAGAATTGTGGCAATCAGACGGTTTGGGTCAGAAAGACACGCCACCGCAATTCACCCGCGGCATGACCTAGACCAGCAGGGGCAATGCACCGCGCAATCACGTCACGTGTCCAGATTGGGTCGCTCGTCGTCTTTGGCGGGCATCCTTCACGCGCTTGCAAGGCAGGGGATCGCAGCGTAGCACGGCTGCAGTACCCGTGACAGGGTAGGGGATAGCGGTTTTAAAATGCGGATTTAATACATGTACGGAATGCAATCACTCCCGCACCGCCCTCGTGCTTTCAGCGGGCGTTTTACCTTCACTATCATTATCGTACTAGGATAGCTCGTTTCCACTAGTTCAGCATCTAATACATGTGTGAACATAATAACTGCATGGTCACTGGAAGGAAGACCTGACACAAGCCCCTGTGGGCTCCATCCTCGTTCATCCTCGGTTCAAGCCATTCATCCAGTCCCCTCCCGTTTCCCCCATTCAATTCCCCCCATCGCACGCAACCACCCCTTCCCCCCTCCCCCTGGGCCCCACCTGTGTGAGTGTCACCGTGGCAGGGTCCACGGAGGTCTCCTCCTGCAGCTCACGGCCGGCGGCTGCGTCCAGACCCTCACCCTCGTCCACGAAGCCGCCGGGGAGAGCCCAGGAGTCCTGGCCGGGAGGGCGGGACGGACAGGCATGGCGGTGACATTACAGCGGCAGGAGGCAGCGGCGGTGAGGAGATCGAGGGGCGGGGGGTTCCGATGCACACACACGGATTGCACTGCTGCGGGATGGATGCCTTGCAGCAGTCCTCCTGGGTATGGGGCAGCCTGGGCATGGGGCAGGAAAGTAAGGCCGAATGCATGGACATTTGACGATATTTTTACGCCTTTTGGAAAAATAGTCGACTATTGCGATACCTTTGCTGTGCCAAAGCTTCCATCATACCGTAACCCTAATGAGCCCACGGGCGGCCTACCTTGTAGGGTGGATTCTTCCGCTTGATTAGCAGCAATTGTGGTGGAATTCCATCGCGCGGTCGCGAAACAATAATGGTATCTACAGTAACGGCAGGCCTTGGATACCTGGACAAGACAGTAAGGGCGCGCTGTAACCTTATCGCACAGCAGGACACCCGTGGTATTTGTGTGCTAGGAGAAAAATCCTGACGTACAGCTATAAATTAAGGGAGATAGATCATCCCGGTGCTTGACTGACTGCCCTAAAGGCCGATGCAAACGTATGTGATACCGTAAGACAGGGTGCAGAAAGTCCCTATGCCTCCATCGATACAGGCAAGCTGATGTGCACCCGTCTGAGCTTACTGGTACGTGAAAGATCCTGCCATGCGGACGAGGCGTCTGTTGCTTCCTTCGTGCAAAAATTTAGACCTTCCAAGCCGGAGAACCCGCGCAGCTTGCATACGCAAATATAACGAGGGCCGTAATTATGTTAACAATGTTGGCAAAACAACTAGTTTACGCGAATAAGCCTTCGGCCCGTTGTGGACTAAACATAAGCTGCACGTGTTCCAGTTCATACGAGCTTCCACGAACATGCGAAAACGAAAAGTTTGGGTTAGGAAGGATACTAGTTTTGGCTATTCACGTACGAACGTACGGAGAATCGGCAAGGAAGCCATGGCGCAGGAATGGACGCACTTCAGATAATCCGTAGCGATACGGTTGTGAGGACAGCGGCCAACGGGTTGTATGCTTCAGGTGGCGCATCTTACCTACCTCTGAGACCCGCTGCATTTCGCTGTCCTCAGCGAAGCCACGTAAACTGCAGCCATGCTAGACATCAACCTTTTTAGGACGGGTAAGATCGATAAACAAAACTGGAGGTGACTTGGTGGTTATCGACGTTCGATCGTGCTGCGCTTGCAGAGAAGGGCGGCGATCCGGAGGTGGTTCGCGAGTCGCAGCGTAGGCGCTTTGCCGATGTATCGCTGGTTGATCAGGTTATTGAACATGACTCGGAATGGCGGCAAGGTGGGTTCCGGTGCAAGGACGGCGGGCTGTTCCATAAGCTCAGGCTGAAAGCGTCCCTTAAAAATAATTCATAAGCTAACTAAATTTCTCGGCTTCGGTGCCGTAGTTCGCTTTCAACTGGACCAATTGAACAAGGAGTTCAATGCGCTCAACAAAGAGATCGCCACTGTGCGGAAGGTGGGTGGGCCATTCTTAGCCTCGTTTTAAGTCGTGCGCCTTCTGCATAGAACTGCTATCAGCGTGGGACACCGGGCAATTCGTGTTCTATACGGTGCGGCCCACATCTGGTGTGCTGCCCCAGGCATTACCCCCTCCCCTGCCCAAAAGCCCCACTCTGCTGCTAGCTTCCCAAGGGATCTAGCTCGCCTAGGGTGCCTAGGGTGCACCTACCTCGATAAGCTCAAGAACTGAAGGCGCAACAGGTCTCACCGCTTACACAGTACCTGCAGCACGCTCTCTACATGGCAACTACCTAACAATCTTAGACGATGGCCATGTTCAGCGACAACCTAGGTCGTATCTAGATAACCGCACGAAATTATCGTAGGTAAATGCATTGCAACAACAAGTAAACCTTGTGCGGTATGTGTGACCTGGCTTCAGGCGGGTGGCAATTCAGATGAGCTACAGGAGAAGAGCAAGGAGCTTAAGAAGAAGATCCAGATGACGGAGGAGAAGGAGAAGGAGGTCATCATCACCCGCGACACCAAGCTGGTCTCCATTGGCAATATCGTACATGACAGCGTGCCCGTCAGCCAGGATGAGGTGCGGCGCTTCCATGTTCAAAGCAGCGCAGGGCTGGTGGTCCGATTCGCACCCAAGCTGGGCAAACCCATTTAAAGGGGCAACAACAGCACCGTCAACGTTTCAGCAAGCGTCTTCGTCCGAAGGCCTGTCCTGCGTTTGGGATTCAGGGAATTGCTCACCCTACTTCTTAACACCTTACATCTTGTGTGTGGCGGGAGGCAGTTGAATTGCTCGTCACACATATCATGTCGTACCATGTGGGTCATGTCCTAAACTACGTGGAGGCGAAGGCGGAGGCGTTCTCCAACGGAGCAAAAGGGAGGGAAGAGGCACCCCGTCGCACCCCGCTGCCTCGTTCACGTGCTCGTTGAGGACAACCACTGCACACCTACCGTCCATGGCTTCCCATCCGCCAAAGCCCCAGATCAAAGCTCCGAGGAGCTCCTATGTCCGTCGCATCACAAAGGGCCCCCCCCCCTGTCCACGTCGTCCTATGCTCAGCATTGGGGACGGGCTCGCTGCGTATCACCCTGACCTGCTGCCTCCTGCTATCCTGTTGCCGGCCGGCCTGCATGCTTGCCGGTCTGTCCTCAGACCAACAACGCCATCGTCAAGACCTTTGGCGAGCCCCGCCCATCAGTCGATCCAGACACTGGCAAGAAGCTGTACAACCACGTGGACCTGGTGCAGCTGCTGGGGATCGTGAACTTGGAGGCGGGGCAGGAGGTGGGTGCCCGGTGGGTCGGTGGGTTAGTGGGTGGCAGTGATGATCGCAAGGAGAAGGGGATGGGGCCTTGGCGGCGTGCCTTGATGAACTGAGTCGCGGGAAGGAAGTCATGAGAATGGCGGAGCGCTACGCTCTTAGGCTGGTTGGTCTTTGGCTGGATGGGTGCTGGGCCGCGCGGAAGAGGAGAGCAGCGGTGTAGTGGTGTAGCGGTGGTACTCGTGACTGGTGGCACTGTAGGGGAGGGAAGGGTGGCGCAGAAGGGCCCCAAACTCCATTTGGGGTCGATGGTCGTAAGGGCTGGCTGGGTTTGAAAGGAGTGAGGGCGGGTGCGCGTCTGGCATTGCGTGACAAAGGTAGTAAGGAGGTGAAAGAAGGAAACGTGACGGGTGCTGTCGAAAATTGCGCGTCGAATGTGGTGTGGGGCGGGTGCTACGGTGTTCCTAAGGTCGGTCAGGCTTACCCTGGGTGGGGGTGTAGGCTGGGTGGGGGTGTAGTATATATATATATATATCGACCGGTAACCATCGGGGGGAGCTCGTCACGGGAGACCGCGGGCGGAACACATCATGGGACTCATGGAATTGTATCGTGCATCACATGTGTTTTCAGGCGGCAGCAGTAGCAGCACAGCTTTGAGCATCTATCAACCCCCACACATAGGTCACCGGCAGGAACGGGTTGGGAAAAATTGTTCTGCTTTCTCGGAGATCAGGGAGCTTCGACCTGTGAGTTAGCACGTGGGAGGCAGTTTTCAGCAATGGCGAGCGTTTGAGGGGGACGGCATATTCGGCAAGGCGTTTCACATTCCGGCCGCCCGCAGTCGGCCTGTGTCAGTCCTAAGACTTTTCCATTTCATCTAGTGCCAGGCCAATCTGCATCTCGGTCGATGCAGCTGTCACCTCTGATGGCAGTTGTTCAGCGGCAGTTGGGATGAGGGACCGATGCGTAGTCGTGGGCAGAAGTATCTTTGGGGATGACACGGCGGGCTGAGGCTAGTAGGGGAGAGGCTCTTTCCTTTGCAGTGCGAGCGACCGCGACGTCGGTTCTTGGACATCACAGACGAAAGCCGACCTCCTATCCCCAGTCTATCCTTGGCATCAGCTTCCCTAATTCGTGGCTCGTCTTCCCGGCTATCCCCACTCCTCCATGTGGCTCTCGACAATTTCACTGGAGGGCGCTAATCCTGGCATGCATGCGCTAGCGCCTCCCATCGCCCGGTTCGATTCGGAACTTCCTTTCACCGCCTTGCTTGCCGGCAAATTTTCCCATTCACCCAACAGTCCAGGTGTTGTACTGGGCATCACGTCTGCTGTACTCATTCGCCCCATGAAGGCTCGCTCCGGTCTCCTCCCCCCAACCCCCGGTTGCTCGGTCGCTCGGTGTGTTGTGTGCAGGTTGCTGGCGGCCGCGGCTACTACCTGACGAACGAGGGTGTGCTGCTGAACCAGGCGCTCATTAATGCCGCGCTTCACTTTGCGTACAAGCGTGGCTTCTCGCCCGTGCACACGCCCTTCTTCATGCGCCAGGAGATCATGGCGGAGTGCGCGCAGCTGAGCCAGTTCGACGATGAGCTGTACAAGGTCACCGGTGGGTTGCAGTTGTTGTTGGGGAGTGCGTCGGCTACCTCTTTTTTTGACCACAATATTATTATTCATCTAAACGTTATGAATCTCTATAGCATTTCCCACCATTCGTGTGGAACAAGCACATTCCGCGCCTACTAACTCCCCACACAAACATTCTATCGCGACCAGCCATGTCCTGTCAGCGGCGAATGACCTCCCTATAGCACGCGACGCAGCCGCACACATGTGCGCATGAATGCACGCCGCCGTCAACCCGCTTCGCGCCGAAGCGAATCTTCACCCTGCTACCTCCTTGTATATCTGCATTCATTCCGTGGTGGTGTTTCTGTGGCCCTGCTTTGTTGTTGTGCAGGCGAGGGCGACGACAAGTACCTGATCGCCACTTCGGAGCAGACGTTGTGTGCGATGCACCGCAAGGGCTGGTTTGAGAAGTCGGAGCTGCCCATCAAGTACGTGGGCTACTCGACGTGCTTCCGCAAGGAGGTCGGCAGCCACGGCAGGGACACGCTGGGCATCTTCCGGTGAGCCGGTGGGACGCAGCCGCGGAGTCGGAGTCGGAGTCGGCGGCGGGCCGTGGGGGCCGTGGGCCGTTCCTCTTTGATATCCTTGTTGCTCAGGTCCTGTCGTCGTTGTTGTCCCCCAGGATTCACCAGTTCGAAAAGGTGGAGCAGTTTGTGATTGCATCTCCGGAGGGCATTGCCAGCTGGGAGGCGATGGAGGAGATGCTAGCAAACGCGGAGGACTTCTACCAGGTGTGTTTGGGTGTGTGTGTGTCTGCGTAATGATGATTCCCGAAAGGTACACAGCAGAGGCATAAGGAGTGTTGGTGGGCGCGATGTGCAATGGCTGCACAGTGATCATTTAAATGACGTGTGCCTAAATATGTGAGAGCTGCTCCAGAGAGAGAGAGAACTGCGCAGCGCCGTGCAGGGTTGGAGAGCGGACGTGTGCAAGGTAGCTGTGGTGACGGGTAATTCGGGGTTAGTGAATGCCACAGTGTTGGGTACATTCGGCGATGAGCGCCCGACAGGCTTTCCGTGCGCTTGGCATTGTTGTGTGTGTGTGTGTTGAATTGGCGGAAATGCAAGGAGGAATGCAAAGGGGACGCGCACCGGATTGGCTTCCCTTAGGATGTCCCCACTCGCGGCGCCCGTCTGGCAAGACGACGATGACGATGAGGAGGAGGGGGAGAAGGAGGAGGAGGCGGCATGCTGACTGAAATGCTTACTGGCGCGCCTCTCCTGACCGGCAGTAGCCCCGTCACCGTCCCATTACCTTTTGAAAACCCAAACCCACCTACCATCAATCCTACCTCAACATCCTGCGCTTCCAGTCTCTGGGCCTGCCGTACCGGGTGGTGAACATCGTGTCCGGGGAGCTGAACAACGCCGCCTCTAAGAAGTACGACCTGGAGGCTTGGTTCCCCGCCTCCTCCACCTTCCGCGAGCTGGTGTCCTGCTCCAATTGCCTGGACTACCAAGTGGGTGATCCTCATCGGGCACACGGACACACCGAAAAGGGGGAGGGTCGGTGAATTACGGCGTTTTCGTGGCAACTCACTGGGTTTGGGATGGATTTGGTTTTTGAGGTTATCTTCTAGGGCTGTCGAGGGCTTAGGTCCGAAGCTGAATGGGGTCCGAGGCAGACTTCGTCCGTCAACCTTCTATCCCATCGACATCTTAGCATCAACACCGCTCTCTCGTGTGCCCCTCGCTGCCCCTTGCGCCGCATATCCTCGTGGTTCGTCTTTCCCCCCCCCCCCGTCACTCCCTCGCGCTAAACATACGTGCGCACAGTCTCGCCGTCTGGACATCAGGCTCCGCACGCCCAAGGGCGCAGCTGGCGAGGCTTCCAAGTCCTTTGTCCACATGCTCAACAGCACCCTGTCCGCCACGGAACGGACCCTCTGCTGCGTGCTGGAGAACTACCAGACGGCCGAGGGCGTGCGAGTGCCCAAATTCCTGCAGCCCTACATGATGGGCATCGAGCTTATCCCCTTCCGGAAGCAGTACGACGCCAAGGGCAAGCTGGTGGATCTGCCCAAGCCGGCTCCGGCAGCGGCGGCAGCAGCGGCTCCCGCCGCCGAGGCTAGCTCCTGAAGTTGCGGGGCCCCGCGGGCTAAGCCATTGGCCGCACCGCTGGCATTGATGACACATGGAGCGTTAGGCGCGAGGGGAGGGGTACTCCTTGCACCACGGCCATTATTGGTGCCGGTGGTATCTGCCACGGTTGGCGGCGACACTGCCTTGCCGGCTGCCGCTCTGGGGTGTATGGGAGGTTCAAGGGACGACGGTGTGGAGGGAAGATGGGGAACGACGTCGGCGGTGGCGACAGCTGCTGCGGGTGTGCAGACGGCATCGGCGCTGGGGTGCTGGCAGCCGCCACGGTCTCTCCCGCGGACTCAGCGGCCGACAGACTGGCTGTTGCCACCGCCATTGGCGGCCTCCATAGTTGGGTCGGAAGTAGTGGCTGTAGCTGCGCCGACAGCGACCCCGTTCCGTCCTGCTCCTCTGATGCGCGACATGGCGCCGGTCCGGCTGGTAGACGGCATCGCCTCGCGCCTGAGAGAACCTAGGACGGCGCGTCGGACAGTGCCTGTGTCCTTGTGGCGCAGTCTATGCGCCACAGCGGCGCCGACATGTACGGCGGGTCCAGAGGTGATGGCTTGTATGTCCCGAGGAATGGGGTCTCTGCAGTACAGCTCGGCTGACGTGGAAGCTACCGTGTGCGGAGACGTCGCTGTACCGGCGGGCGCGGGGCCGGGTTATCCAATTATGAGGGGCTGGGATGGTAATGGTGCCGTCTTGATGCTTGCAAACTTGGCGACAGCTGCTGCTATTAGGGGGCGTCTGCACGCAAGCCGCCTCTACGGTCCGGGGGGATCGCTGCGGGCGATGTCGCGAGCTGCTCTTCGTGGCATTCTCAGCAGCCCGAGGACTGGGTGGTTGTGTAGCAGATGATCCGCTCAGCTTACGAGCTGATTGACTGGCTGGCTTGGCTTGATCGCCAACCTAGCTTTTGCCCGGGTAAAGATGAGTGAAACGTAAGTGAAAGGAGTGCAAATGCCGACAAGGTGCTTGCTTCCATCGGAGGATGGGCGTTTAGAGTGTGTTTGTGCATGTGTGTATGTGCTGCCTCTTGCTCGCAAGCTGGCAAAGAGGGTGAGTTGATGCAAGTTTTGTAAATGCAAAAGTGGTGGTGGCGCACACTTGCGTCTCCGGGGCTTGAAGTCCGTTTTCCCTTCAGCGCGCGGAGAGGCAGCGATGGACAAGGTGGCGAGAGGTCGCGGGCGTGTCTGAGAGCACCCCGGAGACCCTCCTGAACTTGAGGTGACGAGGTACGCGAACGGTGAATGCCCCCACTCCTCATGTGGTGGAGGGTTTAGCTGTGGCTGCCGTCGTCAGCACGTCAGGTGCCATAAAGAGTGACACCATAGTGGCTGGCACCAGGTTTGCACAGGTCTGCGCTGAGGGGCTGATGCACAAATGTCATTTGAGGTCGCAATGATGATTTCTCGATTTCCTTTCCGTAGTGGGAGGATGCAACACCTGCCGCATCCCTTTGCCATGCGTGAGCTAGGGTTCTGCAATCAAGCACGTGCCTTTGCTGCGGCGAGGACAGGTGAGGGTGAGGATGGCGTCAGACTGGCTGCCTGCGATTCGTAGCCACGTAGCTCCTTCATGTGTCTTGGTAATGGAGGGGGCCCCGCTACTGAGGCCCCAGGTTTGGGCTTGGACTCCGCGGCGGGAGAGGTATAGTTGCAATGACGAAGTGTACAGCAGTGCTGAAGCCTGAGTGATGGGGGCCGATATCACACAGAAGGTCTTCGGATGCCGTATGTGTGCGTGTGTGCATGTTTGTGTCGCAGGAGCGGGTGGTTATAATGGTGGCGGGAGACAGGCTAGCAAGGATTCGTAGCATGATGTCGTCAGCGATTCAGTGGGTATGTGCATGGTATGTGCCGTGCCGTGACTGCCGAGGAGGAGCATCGGATTAATCCTGGTACGAGTATGGCCTCAACAAGAGCACTTCTGCCCTGAAGTCGTGGCCGGTTTGAGCAGCTCATCCCGCAGGAAATACCTGTACAGCTTTGCATGCTTGATGACTTAGTGAACGGGCCTCTTGTGCCTGAACGCAGTCCACTGCCATCGCTACAGGTACTGTCAGGACACTTCCACGTTCCACTGCAGTTGGTGAGTTTGTGTCTCTCTTTTGTGAAGGAGCTCGTGGTACTCAATTATTCTGAAGGTGTCATGAGCATACAGCGTTGCTAGATGGAGATCGAGCAACACAGCAGCAACAATGGGCCATCAGCCCGCGCGCCAGCGAATGTGTGCACACCTGTTGAATCCATTGGCCCACTACCACATGCAGACGCCGTCTGGAATCTGAGGCCCTTACCTTGCCGAGGTAACTGCCCATGGGGTTATCGAGCGACTCAAAGTCGGAACGATGAACCGTTAACCACCGTTTGGGGACCACCGACCAAGTGACCGGTGTCAGATATTGCATGTGTCAGATTAGGGGGCCCCCAGTAACCCAGTTATCCCCCAGTACCTGCAACCCTGCTTAACAGGCTGTGTGTGCTCACTTCCTGCCAAATGACACATGGATGAGGACCGCACAACACGAGAGGAAACACGTAAAAAGATAAAAGAAGCAACATAACGGATTTCCGACGCAAGAGAAGTCTTGGTAAGAGGGAACGTTTCCTTAGTGAAACCGGAGCAGGGGACCTGTGTTATCAAAAATGCTCCAGCACCCAAGCCAGTGAGATTGTAGGCCGCAGATTTAGGGCCCTGTTGATTTTCTCTGCGTGGGCGCATGGGTGGTAAAACGGTTCAATATTACACCACTTGTTTTGGCCTTATTTGGTGGGACAGCCGACGCTCCCAGCTCAGGTCGCACCCTTCGCATCACCCTGATTCCATTTCGATATGTTTGGGTAACTACCTGGTCTACGATATCTTGACGTGCTGCGCATTCATAACCCAAATGGACATGTCCGCGACAACCAAACTAGGAGCACCCGTCAGGAGGTGCTCATTCCCCAATGGTAGCGGCGTACAAGAAGAGCATACATGGCCGATGTGCCGTCAACAATACCTGCTGTACTGTTTTCTATAAGCCTCCTTGTGCTGTATTAGTGCGTGAAGAGTTTCGTGGTCCTCACATCACACGACAGACTGTCAATGCCCCTTCCTAAAAGCCCTTAGGCTTGACTCTTACCTCCCTGCCCAACGCGCTTCAGTGTTACTGTTCACCAACGTATCCAACCGCCTTCGCGTGTAAGGCCTCCTTGCCTGTGGCTGGTCCTAGCCTGGGAGAGTTTCGTGTTAAAAGCCCCCAGCCAAGGTGACCCCTGTTGCTCCTGCTCCGAAACCTCCTGTTGCTGGCGCTGGTGCGTTTGCCGGTGCACCTCCAGGCGCAGGCTGCCTTTGACTCCTCAACACACGACGTCATTTAATATGCCACTTACGACCGCACACCCGTCCCATCGCGGCACCCGCTTTTAAAACCCCCTCGGCTCGGCTCGGCTGTCCTCCATTCTGCAGATCATATTTATGTGTATGTAAGCTCCGACCAAGGCAAAACGACTGGGGCCCCTAGAAGCATAGAACGTCGATATTCACTAAATCAGCTGCATCGACGCCTCTCGCTCCCATACCCTGCAATCAGCTCCAATACACCAGTAGTACTCCTCCCTGCAATCCACCACAACCATACGACATTCAAAACCGGCGAGAGAGCGTGTGCTCAGCGGGCCCAACGCCAGCGGTAATTCGACACACCGAAAGAAGGTCCATAGATGGTAAAAACACACACTGCGATACAACTCGCGAGGCCGAGGACCCAATAATGCTTCAAGGCTCTCCTCCGTCTTCCGTGTTACCGAGCCTAAATGCACCTAACGTTGTATCCCGTCAGCGCCCCAAGGGGCAACGTAATCCTAACAGCAAGCATTAAGCGTCACATCACACACCGATGCACGGCAACCCAGTGGCCGTAAAAAAACAGCTGCTCTACAAAAATCCCACGAGCCCTCCCCAGGAGGGACAAGGAAGAGACAAATAGAAACAAGAAGAAGTAGAAGAATGTTCCAGGCCAGACCAGGGCCCCCTAATTATGCGAGAGGGTAACAGCTATACCCCAAGTGCGCCTATTGGAGTCATAGTCTGCAATGCTGCAAATCCCGTACCGCCGGCACAGGCTGCACAGAGTAACGACAATTTCCCATACCATAACCGTCCAGAGAGGCTATCCAACTTAAGAGGGCGTGTCTCAGTGTAGCGGGCGGCGTCCTTGATGTCCCTTACATTGGGGGTCAAATGCATTACGATCTGGGGAGCCCCGCCCTTGAACGCGTATGTGTGGACAAAACACTCACTGTTTGTTGATAGGTCTGTGGTGGATACTGAGGAGGGCCGAAGTGAGGCCGCCGAGCTTAGGGCTTCCTGCTCACTTAAAATTAGCAGCATACCTTCCCCCGCACTCATATACGCGCGCACACGCACATACACATAATCCTCGCACAGAAGGACGCACATGCACTGAAACGCCTATACACGCATACTCAAATGATACATGCACGCACAGCACATACAGACAAGGCAACCCACCAGTTTGATCTGCCGTGTGCAAACCCTCACCACCCCGCCTTTTAGAAACCATCGCGCGCATCCACTCACCCTCCCGACATCAGGCATCTTGCTCAGGCAGGCAGAGAGACTCTATGCGGAGAGTAAAGCGTAGCATCTGCCAAATGAAGACACCACACAAAACACACACAACAAACCACAAACACGCGTCACGTAACGCAAACACAAACCAGCACTGCACACACACAGACACGCATATACATGCACATATGTGTGTGTGTGTGTGCGTACATGCACGCACACCGCAACGCACGTGGCTCCCGCGTCACAACACTCCAGTGCCATTGCACCTGTGCAGCTACAACTGCTCCAGCAACCCTGCGCAAAATGCTCTTCCTCCTCCGTCCATGCCCCGAAGCCCACTGTCTAGGCCCGCCTAGATTCCCATACAGACCAGCAGTCCCATCCCGCCTCGAGGACAGCGCAAAAAGGTGTTTTGCTTGTCCCAGCCAGCAGCGTCTGAGCACCGTCACCGGCGACGTCGGCGTCAAACCGGGAATGTCTACAGTTATGTCAACAGCAGCAGCAGCAGCAGCAGGGCCTTCCCTCCATTCTCTCCCAAACATGCTGTTGTGCCTCCTGACCCAGTTATCTCCGTGACAGATTTAGCTCGGGGCACTTCACGCGCTTCCCCTTTCCCGTGATGCTTTCGCTGTGTACGCTGAGTTGTGCCAGCCGCCTCCCGCAGCTCAGTTCCCCATACACCCTCATACGCCATCATTCACACCGCTGGTTCACAACAGAGCTCAGGACCTCACTCGATGTGTGCTGTGTGATCCTTGGCACTTTAGCGAAGAACGCCACTACGACCACCCGCACATCGCGCTCAGCTGAGTGCATCGCTCCCAGCACAGCACAGCACACGCACAGTAGCGACGCAGTCTTGCCGCCGCCGCCGCCTCGAACCGAACCGGAAAGAGCGCTCCTATCCAATGCAAACAGCCCTTTTCAGCTTCCGTCGGCCATCACAAGTCCCGCGGCGTCAGCCGTACGCTCGCGTCCATCCGAGCTCCCACACCAAAAGACCAGATCGGAAGCCCCGGCCGGGGAGGAGCCTCCTTTCGTTCCTTTGGGTCCGTGATGCTTTCCCCCCTCGTAATCCCCGCTTTCATCTGGATCCACATGGATCCAGGATCCGGTCCCGTCCCTGACCCGCTGCAGAAGACCTCAAAATCCAGATCATTTCGGATCTCAGCCCAGGTCCAGCTCATCATCCTAATGCCCCGTACACGATTTCCACTGCCTGCTGCACGCAGTCCTGGGGAACCAGCAGCCACAGCGGCGCACCGGGGCCAGGCACCGCTGCCGGCCGGTGACCCAACCCCGTGTACACCGCCATCCGGCCGCCCACACTCACATGCACCCGGTCTCCCAGCCGCTCCCGTACCTGTTGCTGCACGGATGCCAAAATGGCCTGGCTTGTGGAGGCGGCATCCGCTGCCGCTGCACCACCGGACGTGGCCCCTGACTCCGCCTTGACGGAGGGACCCCCCGTCATGCTCTGCCGCTCGGGGGCCCCGCCGGCAGCGGCCTCCAAGGCCCCTAAGCCCTGTTGCTGCTGTTGTTGTTGCTGCTGTTGCTGCTGCTGCGCGGAGGTGGGGGCCACTGGTGCACTGACCCGCAGGAAGCTGCGGCCCAGTGCTAAGCATATCAGGTCGATGATCAACACGTTGTTGCTGGAGCCGCCGCCGGAGCCGCGTTTCCTAAGAGGTGGGGACATGGTGCGGGAATACACATGATGATGCGACAAGTAAAAGGAATCCATTCCCGGAAAGAATAAAGAAACGCCAATTGCGGTGCTGGTGTGTCCAAGGCCCCGGATTTACCAGCGATTTTGCTTGGTTTGGACTAGCCAGCTTTATGGTACTTTGCTTATCTTTCTTTCCCCCCTAACAAACCCAGCAAACCATTCCGGAACAAACATCTGCTGCGATGTAAATCTGACATTTACCATTCCCTGGCGATTTTCCTATGCCGTCTTCCCCTGATCCCCTGGTTCGACCTTTTGCTATAAGACCTTATTAAAAAATTTAGCGATCCCCACGTCCACGGACGGATATTGCGGATTACATAATTATTACATAATTATTAATGTAGCCCCCTGCACGGCCCCCGTCCGGCGGCCCAGAAGCACAGCCCCAGCGCACAACACAGCCAGCCACCCACCCACCCACCCACCTGCAGACGATACGCAAACAGAAAGGCGGCTGCTGCATCGTCAGACGAACGTCCATGTCGGGCAACAGGCCGTACCGGGACAGCACCGGGGGACGCAGCGAGGCGCAGAAGCCCGCTACCGGCCAGGCCGCCACAGCTACTGCGTCCAGCAGCTTGCCCTCCTCCCCCGCCTCCGCGAGCTCCTGCACGACAGTGTGCAGGTTGGATCGGATCGAAAAGTCGAGCCGGGTCGAGTTTGCAAACGCCTTAAGGCTCGGCGAGGCCATGAAAGAAAACATATCCATTGTGTTGTAAAAGTTCTAGGTAAATTTGAAAACTTTGACTGAAATTTCTATCGAAGCATCAGCTATTTCCGACAGCGATATTGCCCAATCAAGAGCTGAATCGAAATTCGCGCGCGAGTCCCAGACCGGGGGCCGGGGAGCCCGGTCCGGTCACTGGAGTGCAGCGGCTGATAAGCGACTTTTCACAAAATTCCCTTTCATCAGCGTCATTCCTAAAATCAAACGTTACGGAAGCCTGACGGCAGTTACCTGAATGAGAACATTTTCTTCTGTTTTGCCACAACCTTGGTGTTTAATCACCACCCCTTCACCCCATCATTAAACCCTCCGTTCCTACCTCCAGCACTTGCAGGTACTCGGGCGGTAGCGAATGGCCGCTGCTACAGGAGATGGTGCACAGAACCAGGTCACAGAACTGGCTGCCAAACGGCTCCCCGGGAGAGCGAGGCGGCCCCAGCCGTGTCGTTCGTACGCCAGCATCCACCGGCGGCAACAGCCCTGACGGGTACGGCTGCGGCGGCGTCGCCGCCGTCAGCGGCGACGCCGCCACGCCTCCCAGTATTGCTGGTGACGGCGACGGCTGCGACGGCGGCAAGGCGATGATCCCACCTGGCGTCGGCGCCGGGGTCGATGTGCCCGGCGTCGCGCCGCCGCCAGCCGCTGCTGCGGTGCCACCTCCGGCGCCGCCTGTACCGCCGTACGGATCCCGTACATCCCGTGGCGCCCAGGTCATGTGGAGCAACAGCGGCGGCGGCGGCATGACCGCGTTGTGCCCTGCGTCTGCTGCCGCCGGGGCAGAGCCCTGACGGGGTCCAGTCGTACACGGCGTCACGCGCAGAGTCGCCGCACTGCAGCTGTAATCCTCCAACGTCAATGTACCGACCAGAGGCCAGTGCCATGTCAGCCCAGAACTCGCCGTCCCTGTTACACCACTGGCGCTGCCGCCGCCGCCATTGGCGCCGCCGCTACTAGCGGCGCCAGGTGCGCATGAGCCAGGCCGGCCCGGCACCTGTCCGACACCCATTGCATGGCCGTCCATGACGCCATTAGCCGGTAGTAGCCCGGCACCGGGAGGGACGTAACCAGCCAACCCTGGCTGCTGCTGTTGCTGCAACTGTTTCTGAGGCTGAGGCTGTTGCTGCTGCCACGAGCTCCACCTTCCATCTCCGTAGGCGAGGTCCGCACCGGGCGCTGGCGCTGCAGCCCCTGGTTCAGTCTTGATGCGCTTCGCTGCAGGCTGAAGTGGGTGGTAAGATGAAGATGAAGCTGCAGCCCCGGCTCCGTATTCCCCAGGGCCCGCTGCATCCACGCTACCGGGCCTGAAGGAACAAGTCCCCCCAATCGGTTGTTGTAGCTGCTGCGAATGGAGAGGGGTCTTAGGCTGCAGCGGCCGGCCCTGGCCGTCGGCGTCGACAGCAGCCGGGTCTGTAGCTGCCGTTGGGGGTGTTAGGACTGCCAGCCGCTGCACCCGTACGCCTCCTCGGCCCGCTGCGGACGTTGTTGCGACCGGCCGCGTCGTCATCTCCAGCCTCGCCAGCAGCGTCTGCATGCGAATGATCGCGCTCACCTCCTGCACCAGCGTCAACGCCGACTCTCCACGCTCCAAACAGTATTGCCGCCGCAAGCAGACCAAGCCTGGATCGCCGCTGGCGCTACTGCCGTTGTGAGTCGCGCCGCCAGCCAGGGCACCCTGCTCGTCCAGCACGAAACCCGCCGTCGCGGAAGCGAAAGCCCTCGCACCGGGGCCGCCAGCAGCAGCGGCGGTGTTGCGATCCAGCGGCGCGCAACCCGGAGAGCACAAGAACCTGCCGTACAGCCGCGCCGTCACCTGCCCCGCCAGTGGGTCTGGCCCCAGCTCTAGCTCCAGGCAGGTGGGCCCGACACGCGGCGGTGTGAGGCCACGCCGCCGTACCATGTGGCACGGCAGTGCCGTACCTGCGACTGCCGTGACCCTCACCCGCTGACACGGCGGGTTACAGAGCTCCACAAAGGTGGCGCCCACGGCCTTGAGCTGCACCAGCAGCACCTCCCACACCATTCGCCGCCGACACCACCGCACGACGCTGCTGAGCTGCTGTTGCGCAATCATGACGGCCACCTGCTGACCCGTGGGTCGGCCGCTAGCGCCGCCAGGTTTGCTGCCCACAGCGGCACGGACACCACCCCCGCACGACGCATGAACCGCGTTGGCGGCAGCGCCTGTGGACGGAATGCGTCCCTGCGTGTGCGAGTACGACGAGTGGGCGTACGGCGGCGACGCCGCTGCGGGCAGCGATGGGACCCCGCTGGTCTGGCCCGTAGCGGTGGCCACAGCGTCGGAACCTTGCCCCGCCCCTGACGGCGCAGAGGACGGTGCACCGCCGCCGCCGCCGCCCCCCCCTCCCCCGGCCGTTGACCGCACTTGCAACACGCCCACGCCTGTCCCGCCTGAACTACCTCGCCAAGGTGACGCTTCGGGCGAGTGGCCGCCGCCCACTTCATGACCGTTGGCGGCAGCCCGGGGGCTGTTGCCGCCGCTATGTGGGGAATGTAGGCCGTTATCGTTTACGGTGCCGTGCCCGCCGCCGCTGCCGCCACTGCCACCACCGTGAGCGGCGGTGCTGGCGGCCATATACGCCGCCACGACGTGGTCCGGCAGGCGGTATGTGCTTGCTGGTACGGGAATGCAGGAGAGAACCTGCAGGTTGTGCGGCAGCCGTGTTTGCGTGAGGGTAGTTAGCAAATGGCAGCGAAACACTCTTTGTATGAGACCGCCATAGAAAGAAAGCCTGTTTCAGCAGAGAGCCCATTTCTGAATGCACGAACGGATGCGTGTACAGTGTTTCAGAACGCAGCGCTGACGAACGGAGGAGATGGCCAGGCGGCCTTAAGTCGCTGGTGGGTGAAGTACGGGGGTGAAATTTAACAATGCAAAAGGAAACCAGAAATGAACTGGCTGCCGGAAGGCGTCTAAAGTCCGAAACTGCCCCTAGGGAGGGAGTCCTACGTGATCAGCTAGGGAGAAAGGATTTCTAGGCTAGGACTGAGCCGCGAGAAGGAAGGTGCTTTGGTAGCGGAAGAAGGGCTTTGGTATAGAGCAGCAGTCGTCCCAGCTCCTGCGGGGCTCGGGGTCGGGTGGAGCACACATCGCCTTCTCCTCCGCTGTGCCCCCCCCTTACCGCCGCAGCTTGCCATGACTTGGTATTGCAATGCCATGCACCGCGCCGTACCGTGCCGTACGCTGCCATATCGTGCCATGTGATGTACTTCTTTGCCCTGTCATGCAGTGCCGTGGAGTGCCGTGGACTGGCAAACCCTACAAGCCGTGCCATGCCAGGACAATATGCCGCATGTGTAGATTAATAGATGTCGGGGTCCCACCGACGCGAGTTCGCTGGTGAGGTGGAGAGGCATTGGCCTGCCATACCTTGATGGGCATGAGCTGCTTGTTGCAGCTGCACACCACCAGCACGTGAGGTGAGGTCAGGGAGAGACGCGACTGAAGGAAGAAGGTGAGGCACTGCGGCATGCGCAGCGGCAGCGTGTCGGGCGCCACGGGCTCCAGGGAGGGGAAGTTGGGCGGAAAGGGCACGCACTGTAGGGCCCACGTCGCCACCTTCTCCCGGGGCCGCGGCTCGATGGCACTGGGGAAATGAGGCACGGGGCATCAGGGAAGGGTTTTACAAAGGGGGGGAGAGGAATGGCTGGCCGGCTGCCCAGCTAGCTGGCTGGACAGGTTGAAGGTTCCCGTGCGGGCCCACAATCGCAACTAGGACCTCCCCAGTCCGGACATCCTCCTCAGTGACCCACATGACTCATAGGGTCAGTGAACCATATGTGTGGGAGGGCCGTACATCCAGGGCCAGGGGGTCCGTAACTCCGCAGTACTCACTGAATTGTCAGTGAAGTCAGTGAGCGTCCGACCTGCTTATCAAGGACCCACGGGTCACTGACCCGTCGGTCCGTCTGCCAACCCGCCCGTAGGCAGACGCTACATATATACTGCTACTCACAGGCCGGGGGTCGTCGCGGTGAAGGCCTCCAGCATGCCGTGCGGCAGGCGACTGATGTGCAGCGCCGCGCGCCGAGCCGCCTGGATGAAGTGGGTCGCGTCAGTGCTGGTATGGGTGCGCTGCAGCACGTGGCATAGCGCAACACAGGCCTCCTTCAGAGCGCGCCACGCGGGGCAAGAATCCGCGGAGGCGCTGTTATACGCGGCCATTGCGGCCTGATTTACGTAGTCCTCATTCTGCGAGGATCGGGGGCGGGTTGGGGAGGACGGAAGGACACGGGAAGGCAAACTGCGTAAAACCCGGTGGGGTTAGGACTGGGTTCGGCTGGTGGCGGGGTGGCCGGGAGTGGATGGGGTGAGGTGGGCAGAGGTGTGGGGAGAGGTGTGTGTGGGGAAGGGGAAGACAGGGCCGAGGTGGGGGTTTACTCGTCCTGGTGGTGGAGCGGCCCCACCCCACCCCACCGTGGCCTTTTCGAAGTTGCCGCTGTCCGCTGAAAGAAACACAACAACGGCGATGATGACGGCGACGACGACGATGACGCTAACACGCGGCTTCATACACGCGGGACGCTATACGATACAGCTGCCGTTCGTTTCGTCCCCAGGTTCCCACCATATCGTCAGGCGGCGAAACAGCGGGCCCTTCCCTGCACTGCAGCCCTCCCGCGCGCCACACGCGCACAGCGCCCCCTGCCGGCATAGCCCAGCCCAGTCCAGTCCAGCCTAGCCCACCGCTACACAGCACTACACTGCACTGCCAGCCGCACCATCGCAATGGTCGCCGCGTGGTCCAAGGAGCCCTCGTCCCGCTCGTCCTGTCCCGGCCTCAAAGTTAGCCGCCCACTGAACAAGTGCTTTCCAATCTTGAGCTCCGTCGTGCCCGACACCAGGTACTCCAGCACCGGCGCGCTTAGGACCACCAGAGCACCCGCCACCTCCTCCTCCGGCGCCGCACGAGCCAGCAACCCCGACACCTCAGGCGGTGGAGCCGTCGGCGGCAGGATGCGTGGCGGCGGCGGCGGCGCCGTCGCGCCGCCGCTGTCGCCGCCGCCTACGGCGGCGGCGCCGGAGGTGTCGGGCGCCGGGTCCAAGTCCATCGGCACCGCGGAGCCAGCCACCTCTCCGGCGGTGCTGAGGGCGCCGGCGGCCTCGCCGCCGTCCCGCGTCTGGGACTGGGGCTGCCCATCTGCCTGCGGCTCGTCCTCTTGCGTGCCTCCTGACTGCTGGTGAGGTACATGGCCGTCCCGGCACCACAGCTGCCGTGCGATACTGGAGAGACGCAGGGTGGGCGCCCTCTTGGCCTCCATCAGGATGACCTTCAGCTCGTGACGGATCTGGGGATCGACCCCGGAAGCCGACGGGGTGGTGCCGGCGTGGGTGGGGAGGAAGGTAAATGGGAGTAAAGAAACGCGGGCAGGGATGGGGAAATCATATGCGAGAAAGTGGGGAGTCAGCTGCCAGGGGACAGGGGTGAGGCAGGAGACAGTAAAGCCGGACGCGTTAACGCGCATTAGACCATGAGGCCGATGCAGTGTATAGGCGTGGGGGGTAGGGTGGAGAGGACGGGAGACGGGGAAAGACGGGGGTTAGGGAGGAGGGAGAGACGCGACGGATGCAAGCCAGGAAATGGCATGGAGGAATGTGCTTGTCCCTCAACAGAAGGGCGGGAACGGCAAGTCACGCAGAAGCGCATGACGCCACCCCTTCCTGTACACCATCAGTGTACCACGTAGTCCCTCACTCGTCTTCCAACCCTCCGTCCTCCACTGCAATAAATAGACGACTGTAGCTACACAACTTCCACACACAACCCTCCGTCCCACATACATGCACGCACCCACACACATACATGCATACCCACACCCACATGCACGCACCCACACCTGCATCAATTGGAACTGCGAGGTCATGTTGGCCGCGCGCATGAGCACCTCCTCCACGTTCACACGGAACGTATCCAGCCGCCGCAGCTTGGACAGCGACATGGGCTTGTGCAGGCTGCTGGGGGAGTTGAGCACCTCCACACAGCCGCCCTCACCCATGCCCAGCTCCAGGTAGGGGGGCCCCAGCTTGGCGGACCGCCAGTCCTCCCCGGGGCAGGCCGGCGGCAGCGCGCGGTTGGACACCAGCTGCGGAGCCTGGGTCCAGTACTCGATGCGCACGCCGGGGTGCAGCAGCTGCGACGGCTTGACGCTGATGTGGCCGTGCCAGCGGGAGCCCGGCGCCGCCAGTGCGCGCGCCGCCGCCGCCAGCTCGTCCACCAAAAGCCGTCCCGCCACGTCCGTCAGAATGGCGTGCATAACCGCCAGCGGCGCGCCTACCTCGTCGTCCTCGGAGCGGCGTACGGCAGCTGCTAGGGTGCCGCCGCCAGCGGCGGCTGCTCCAGGCAGCTGTAGGCCGCTGGCAGCGGGCGTGGCGGTGCTTTCACTCATGGTGCTGGCGGTGGGGCCGCCGCCAGCGGCTGCGACGCCGCCGGCGCCCTGTCTCTGGCGGCGTAGGTACGCGGCATTGTCCGCCGCCAGCACCATATGGAAATTGCACGTGTTGAGAATCTGGCCCGGTTGCCGGGGATCATAGAACGGCACGCCAATTGCCAACACGAAGTGGATTAGCCGCCACTTCCAACGCTGTGACGCCGCCGCCGCAGCCAAGGGGTCCGCCGCCGCCGCTGCGGCACCGGCAGCAGTCCAGTCGTATCCGGCACCGCCGCCGGAACCGCCAGCTTCGCCGCCGCCGCCGGCCGCTGCGTCCGGCGCCGCGTCAACTCCAAGCAACGGCTCCGAAGGCACCAACGTCAACTTGGCTTCATACAGCCCCTCCGCCTGCAGCACCGCCGTGCCGTGGCTGACACTGGCAACCTTCAACCCGGGCGGCAGCGCCACCTGCACACCAAAAGAAACCAATACGATGCGGTCGCTTCACGCCGGAAGGACGCCCCACCGGACACAAGGGTTTTGGCGCGCCATGCGTGTCTCACGTCCGTCGGACCGTCGGTACGCCAGACGGGGCTGCTTGCACCGTCAAATCGCGTCACTTAAGCGACCGTAGCGCCCTGGAGGCACTCTCAAACAAACAGCTACACAAGGACCGCCAGTCGCACTCCGGCATTTGCGCTCCAGCATTAACGCAGTTCCCAATCCTCCAAAACATGTTTTGGGGGCCCCAGCAACCGCACGCACTAAGCGTCCGGGGCCGCCCAAGGGCTTTACCGCCAGATTACCGGTCCTGCGCTTAGGGCCTGAGACCTTAGGGCCCGTCGCGGCAGTTGCCCCGCCCGCGGCACGGCTCAATAGGAGTACGCCGGCCCTGTAGACTCGCACTCAATGCTCTGCACACAGCTCTGCAAAAGCGCTTTGGTGGCTGCACCTCTCGATGCAGTCCCCGAGGCCGTCCATTGCTACATGTTTTCCATTGCACTGCGCTTGGCGCCTCAAGCTTGCATGTATGTTTACCCAAACATGCAGCAACTGGCTAACGGGTTGCCCCAAGCTTGCTGGGCAGCTAATTACCAGGACTGATCGATATCCACATGCACCAACACGCGCGCGCCGAGCGCTGCCGAGCCTGCCACCCGTCGCTGCTGCCCCACTCGTGCCCTGCTCCCTGCACTTTCCTCTCTCCCGCTTTCCCCGTGTCCCCCACCTGCACTAGCCGCGCCCTTATGAGGTGCGTGACGTGCGCTAGACGGGAGCGCTGCCGAGCAGGCGAGGCAGGCGGCGGCTGGAAGAGAGGCGGCCGCTGGAGGATGATGCTGGGCAACTCCTGGTAGGTGCCTGCGACGAATGCGAGCGCGCCCACATGTGTGTCGGGCATGGAATTGTGAGCAACGTGTGCAATAAGGAAGCACACCGCGTGCTTGGGGCAGCGGTCCGGGGGCGTTTGCGTGCGGGAGCACAACCCCGTGGGTGAAAAAGGAATGATCTATGCCCTGCAATAAAAGGTGGAGTGAATCAGGTACTCCTACTGTATATTCCCACTGCATATCCAACGAACTCCCTGGCACACCAACGCCAGGCGTCCCAACCTGAAACGCAACCTTACCCCTCCAGACCCCGTCCTCCTCAGACCCCGTCCTCCTCCAGACCCCATCCCTCAAGGTAACTCCACAACACACCTGTTGTCAGCACCTCCAGGGCCGTATTGACATCGTACATGTTCAAGTACGACCCAGCCATGATCCTCCCCGCCGCCTGCTGCCGCATTTGCTGCACCACCTCCGTCATGGTACGCACGTGGCTGGCTGCGACGTCCAGCACCCGGTCATGGTCCACCAGCTCGTTTAGCACCTTCCACGGCTTCCAGTTCAGCAGCGCAACCGCACGCAGTAGCTGCTGCCTTGTGCCATTGAGGTGTTGAAGCAGCCGGTACTTGCTGCTCGAGAGCAGTGTGTAGCCAGGTACGTGGGTCGGTTAGAGGGCCGAGAAAACCGTGTCAACGGTTCGGGATATTTAGGGGGCCAGGGAATAGCATACACGCAGACCCAAATTTCAAGGACAGCGTGGGGACTGGGGCGGTGAAGGGAGGCGCAGAACAAAGCATGGCCAGGAGCGCACGACTGTGCCCTTCTGGTAATTTGCACAACTTTGCAAGCACACGTTTAAAGGGCATCGTGTCGGCAATAATTCCGAGCGATGGCAGGGGAACAGCAAAGGTGGCTGGTTGATAGATGGAGAACATAGGGGCGAGGTGATCTGGAGGAGGGCCGTATGGAGGTGGGGCGCGATGGTTTTGAGACGCGCAGCATAGGTCCAGGCCGCAATTAGGCCAAACCCATGCATCGGCTCGTCCTTACGCTCAACGCTATGGCAAGCTGTGTGCTTGGCCAACCTCATCCAGCCCGCACGCCGGGAGTGGGGGCAAACGCCAGCAAGCAGTTATCCGTACATCAGGCGTGAACCCGCGTGACGTGTCGTTGTAAGGGGCCAAAGGCATTGGACCAACTACTTTCAGACACCTACGTTCACCGCCGGCGGTGCTTACCGCTGGTCGGCGGACTCGCGATCAGCCTGCCCAACGCTGTCCGGCTGCGACAGCTTGATAAAATCTGACAGAACATTGTCAAATATGTCCGCAAACAATTTTTGTAACTCCACGGACGGCTGTGCCCCGCGCAAGGGGCCTGGAGCCTCCATTTCAGCTCCGCAAAAGGCGACCTTCCAACCGCGCCCGCACGCCCCTTTTGCCTCTGCCTCTTAGCAGAGGCGTGCCTTGCTAGTCAGCTATCCATGTAAGCGGGTGCCCTTGGAGAGTTTCGTCTTAAGCTATCGACAGATTTCCAGAAAAAGAATTCACCTTAGATGATATTACCAGCATACAGCAAAATTGTCATGCAAGAAAGACCAAACATCCATTGCATGTTGATTAAGTGCTCGTCCTGTAGTGTAGTACGGCAAGTGCGGCGCGGGAGGAGCAGACCGGAATTGGCCAGAGGACAGTGACTGATACGGTAGTGCGTTACAAAGATTAGCTGGGAACAAAGCGCTGAATCCAGACAACGCTAGTTCGCCAGTCAACCGTGCAAGCAAGCGCAAGTCAGAACGTCGTCTGTTGGGGATTTTGAATTGTTTAAATAGTGATTTACTTTGTATTCGGGACCCAGCTCAATAGTAAAATAGATAAGGCGATTTGACGTTGCTGGCATATCGGTCGCCAGTAACAGCGAAGTGATGGCAGAGCGCGAGCAATCGCGCGGCGGAGGCCAAGAAGGCTTGGAGGACATCCTCCAACAGCGGGACGAAGGAGGACACCAGAATGGCGGAGCACCTAGTTACCCGGAGGGGGCCGATGCGGTGAGTAACAGACGCCAGCTATTGCTCCGCGCGGTCAGACTGTAGGCACAGCCAGCCGCCGCAAGTTCTGTTATATCAAAGGCATGGGAGAGACCGGACCCAGTTTTAAAATAGCGGGAAAGGGATGCGCCGCCGCTGTTGTTTGACCAGGCTGGATTAGAAGCTACGGGTCAGGCTTAGCTTATGAAGAACACGAATCTGTAGACCGCGAGTGGCCGACTCAGAGTATTAGTGCTCGTGAGGTTGGGTCCGTTTCCGGTGGATGGCGCCGCGGCAGAGGGGTAGTTGCTTTGAGATGGCGCAGCGGGGTCTGTTATCCCAACGGGTCCCTGTCCTGAAAGCAGCCAAAAGCCCGCAATAGCGCCTA